AATGGAAGGTGTGGATGATCTTCAGCAGGGGTGTCAAACTCAAGGCCCGGGGGGGGGGGTGGATCTGGCCCATGGGTTGCTTAGATCTGGCCCATGGGACCACCCTAGAAACAGCAAAGGACCAGCCTGTGGTGCCTCTGCCTGTGAAAATGGAGCTCAGGGAGCCGCACACTGTTCTCTCAGGCTCTGTTTTCAGTTGTGATGGCCTCCTGTCGCCCCTAACATGAAAATGGACCTTAGGGGTGTCCCATTTTTGCTGCCAGAGTGCAGGAGTCCATCACAGCTGAAAATGGAGCTCAGAAGCCTGTTTTTGCTGCCAGAGCACTCAGGTCACCACAGACACCCCCGACACATGTGATGTCAAGCTGGCCATGCCCACCCTGATCACACTTATCCCAGCCCTCAAGGGCAAACACAAGCCTGATGTGGCCCTCAATGAAATTGAGTTTGACACCCCTGCCATAGAAGATCTATGGCTCAATTAATAGATAGATGATAGATACTGAGATTGATGGATAGAAGGATGGATGGATAGAAGGATGGATGGATGGATGGATGGATGGATAGATATAGATCGATAGATGATGATGATAGATAGATAGACAGACAGACAGACAGACAGACAGATAGATAGATAGATAAGAGAGAGAGAGAGGGGGAACAGGGGAAGAGATGCTTCTTAGGAAATAATCAGACAAGGGAGGAGGAGTCTCAAATGGCTCAATTGTCAGAGAAATAAACTTAGTATGGACCTGCCCTAATGTCTACGGAGATTCTCAGTCATCTAGGTCATGGTTGTCCCAAAGGTACTTTTTCAAAAGGCATCTATGTTAAAATATTCATGACTGGGAGAGGCATGGGAACTGGGTCAACCAATGAATAGGCATAGCAAACTAAGTCAGCCAATGGGAGCTTAAACAGATCTGAGTCTGTGCAGAGAATTGAAACAGAAACTTAAGCAATCTGCTGCTCTGAGAAGTAAACTAGCAGTCTATCTGTGCTTGTCTGCTGATACGAAACTAACTCTCCTGCCTTGTGTTTACTTGTAAGAACCACCTGTTGGTATTGTACATTTATTCATCTATTATTATGTATATAAAGAAGTTAATGAATCCAGCTGCATCAGTTATCTGTGCGTGCTTCTGGATTTGAATTTATGCAACAAACTGACAATCAATGGGTGTGTATAGGTTTTTTTATATATTTCAAGAGATCATGTTATGACAGAGATTAAGCAAGATATTTTGGAAGGGGTGAGAAAAATCTTCCTGCATGCTTAACACCTGGTGGCTTGAAGCTCTTGGCTACCTTCTCGTCATCTTGCTTATTCCCACTTACAAAAGAGTCACAGTTGTACAACATTACAGTGGAACAATTGGATCAACATTGCCCAGAGAGCAGCTATTATGAAATGCAACAGAACAGCAGGCAAGGAAGATTTGGCAGAGGCGGTTGAATGGGGATTTGGAAACTAGCAACCTACAGTCTAGATGTGATTCAGAATTCATTGATGTAGAAGGGTTGTCTGAAGGTTGAATCATTGCAACTGGACTAATCAACCAATTGAATTATCGGTTAATAATGATCAGTCATCAATCAAGCAACGGAACAACTTGTCTTCAGAGGTTGTGGGTGCTCAATCACTGCAGGCTTTCAAAAAGAGACTGGAGAACTATTTGTCTGAAATAGTATAGGGTCCCCTGCTTGAGCAGGGAGCTAGACTAGAAGACCTCCAATGTCCCTTCCGACCAGTGGTGAAATTCAAAAAATTTTGCTACCTGTTTTGCGGGTGTGGCTTGGTGGGCATGGCAGGGGAAGGATACTGCAAAATCCCCATTCCCTCCCTACTCTTGGGGGAAGGATATTGCAAAATCCACATTCCAGTGGTGGGATTCAGCCAGTTCGCACCACTTCGGGAGAACCGGTTGTTAACTTTCTGAGCAGTTTGGTGAACTGATCG